TTTTTTTTTTTTTTTTTTTTTTTTTTGGGGGGGTGGGGGGTTCCTCTCGGTCAGTGTGACAAATCAGAAATTCTCACTCTTTGCTACAACACTCCACCCACCTCCCCTTTCATTCTGTCAACGTTATGTTTGGTTGTTTTACCACAACAGGGTATGAAATTGAATGATTGAGATCAGGTAAAACCAGAACTTTTGTAGTTGGCACTTATTTGTTCCCGCTTTTGCAGACCTGCTGTTGGTCTATCGGACGGATCCCCAAGGACAAAGCCCCCTCATTGTCAGGAACATTAGTGTTAGAGATAGGTTTAGAGCGTCTTCTTGTATCTCCCACTTTTCAGGTGGGGTTCAGGATCATGGGTGTTGCTCTCTCTGGCCTGCAAATAGATAAATTGGATCTGAAGAATCAACCAACTCGTCCTTACAAAGGTTTCCGAGCTCTCACTAGAGCTGGAGAATATGAAGTTAGGTCTTAGTTTTTTTTACTTAATGTCAAGATGAAATTTGAAATAATATTGCTGTTTGGAGTCGGATATTCATTTTGTATATCAAATTGTTATGCTGCACAGTAGAATTTTCACTATCATGTCATTTTTGAGGGCTAATGTTGTCAGATTTGATACTTGAGAGAATGTTTTCACCATTATAGTGGAACTATTGTTGTACCTTGTCCTGTTGTCCATGAAATTGAAGATGGGAGAGAAAGAAAGGGGGGGGGGGGGGGGGGGGGGGGNGGGGGGGGGGGGGGGGGGGGGGGGGGGGGGGGGGGGGGGGGGGGGGGGGGGGGGGGGGGGGGGGGGGGGGGGGGGGGGGGGGGGGGGGTGCGGAAAGCAAATTAGAAGAGGATGAAAAAGAGGAAAAGTGTAAAAGAACAAATGCAGTTTGGAATTTTCTAGATAAGATTTCAACACACAATAGATTTGTATCCCAATGGCCTTGTAATAGTACCTTGATTGACACAATTGACACCCTTGTTAACCAGCATGTGTAGTAACAGGCAATCATACCGTTACATATAGGGAATTCTGTTTTTTTGAACTGGTTGCAATTCATTGAAAACTTTCTGACTGGATATTTATAGTGAGAGTTAAGTATATCTTTTGGCCCCTTACGTGGGTTTCCAACCCAATTGTTGTGTAGGCCTCCAAAGATGATTTCTTTGGCGGCCCAGTGAGCTCCTCTATTGAGGTCTCTGGTCACATGAGAAAAAATGTAAGTTTAGATTTTTTCTGACAGATCTAAGGTCTTGAACAAAAGCTGAGATTTTCAGTGGTACATCATCGTTGTCATTTTCAACTATGGTGTTCTCCAGCTTTAGAGATTCGGCCAATTGGCAGCCTTTTCTTATGGCTGATGCTTTGGAGAATCTGCTCGATATAACAGGGATCCTTTTTGCTGTACCCTCAACTGACATCTCTGTACGTTTCACTGTACAACCCCAACTGGTGCCTTGTTTGTCTTCTTGTTGAAAGAACCATAGCAATTGATCTTGAGATCAGGAGATTCCGGAGGATTCCATCTCCTCCTTATCTGTGATGGGGCCTTGTGTCTCTTGCCTAAGCCTTTGTACGAAACAATATTCCCGCCCCATAAATTTTTGGCTCGATAGAGTACTGCTAGAGGATTAGGATCGCACTGATTGAACACAACTTGTCGTTCCTCATCTTCCATATGGACCAAGTAGTTTTTGCTATTTTTGGTAAATAGCTCTGAGCCAGTTTGAGGGTCCTTCATCTTCTCCATGAGGTCAATGATCCTGATCTGTATTGATTGGATATTAACCCCTTCCGCCCTAAATCCAATATTCATTCCAAACCATACCCGATGTGTCCAAGTACATGAGAATAGCCTACGCTCCACTATTTCCACTTGGTCCTCGCACATAGGGCAGATTGGGGATTGGGCACATTTCCTCTTTTATAGATCTTCGTTCGTTGGGGCATTGTTGCATACCCTCCACAAAAAATGTCTGATTATTCGGACTGGTACTAAGTTTCATATCATCTGCCACATCTTTGGGTGAGGTTGAAATGGTGCACTGCCTACGGCTTTGGGTTGTGCCATTGTCTGACCTCTTGCCAAGGAGTAACCAGACTTGATTTGGTACATCCATTTGAATTGGGGTGCCAAACTTCCCTTCTAATTTCATCAAAGGGATTCACACTATAACATGCTTTTCTTCCTGTGTCAGTTGGTCCCTAAGTTTTGATTGATCCAACTTCCCGTTTCTCTGGTTAATTACTTCCATTACCTTCGCTATTGGGCAGTTGCGGTGTCTTTGTGTTCAACTTGTGTTGAGGCATGGAAGGGATCCATCTATCTTCCCAAAAATTAGTAGTCTCCTTNCCACTCCCCGTTTCTCTGGTTAATTACTTCCATTACCTTCGTTATTGGGCAGTTGCGGTGTCTTTGTGTTCAAATTGTGTTGAGGCATGGAAGGGATCCATCTATCTTCCCAAAAATTAGTAGTCTCCTTTTATACCTGCCATCTGAGCCGTTTAGCAAGCAATCCTCTGCATACAGACAGACTGCTCTATGCGCATGATGGTCATGCCCCTTTCTTGCCTTCCATGAAGGCAGTTGATGGAAAGTAGATTGATTTCATAAATCTTGCTAGTAGGAATTGGGAATGGAGACAAGCCTCCTATACTATTTTGCCAAAAGGGTCTTATCGAAACTTCAGAAATTTCTAAGGATAATTTTATGTGCACTAAATTTATGCACCAAAAGTGTGCACTAAATCATTGTCAGGTGATGGATGATAGTGGGTCTCACTAATCCAACAGCTGACAATAATTTGGTGCACTCTNTTGTAGGAATTGGGAATGGAGACAAGCCTCCTATACTATTTTGCCATAAGGCTCTTATCGAAACTTCAGAAATTTCTAAGGATAATTTTATGTGCACTAAATTTATGCACCAAAAGTGTGTACTAAATCATTGTCAGGCGATGGATGATAGTGGGTCTCACTAATCCAACAGCTGACAATAATTTGGTGCACTCTTTTGGTGCACAAATTTGCATTGCTCATCCCTAAACCCCATTTGCCTTGTTGTTTTAGCTTTGGTCATTTCTTCTCATCTCCTGAAAGAGAGAAGCGATACTAAAAAATTTTTGCAACTCGGGTCTAAAAAAAGTCACCTTCAAATTGTGACTTATCGCTTGAATGACCGACTTTTTGTGAATTTTTATATTCCATAGAGGCACAGTTTTGCAGCCTTTTTTCTGACCTTAAATAAATAAAACAAAGAAAGTGGTATTAATTTTGGTAAATGTCAACAGAACAATTAAACAGTTAGGGGTCATTTCTCGTAAAAANAATTTTTGCAACTCGGGTCTAAAAAAAGTCACCTTCAAATTGTGACTTATCGCTTGAATGACTGACTTTTTGTGAATTTTTATATTCCACAGAGGCACAGTTTTGCAGCCTTTTTTCTGACCTTAAATAAATAAAACAATGAAAGTGGTATTAATTTTGGTAAATGTCAACAGAACAATTAAACAGTTAGGGGTCATTTCTCGTAAAAAAATCAACAATGAACATCTTTATAGGGCTGTGGCAAAAATAGCTTCCATCGCCACTCTACTATTTCCTTCAGTTCTAAGGAATCACTGACTACAAAATTTTTTGTGAGTCATTGACGAATAGCTGTGCCAATAAGTAAACAACAATGAATAGCATCAACTGATGGGCCCGGCCCAAGGCCCAACTCAGATAATGGGCCCAGCCCATATCAAACCCAACTTAAATAGTGGGACCAACCTAAACAAGCCCTAGTAGGTCCGGCCCATAAGAGACCCNGGCCAAGGCCCAACTCAAATAATGGGCCCAGCCCATATCAAACCCAACTTAAATAGTGGGACCAACCTAAACAAGTCCTAGTAGGTCCGGCCCATAAGAGACCCAGATCTAGTTAGGATCACCAAAGCTCCGAGAGCCATGCCATCCTAAAGTCAAGCAGCCAGCAACGCCATTAAAGAGCCTCATCCATGCCATCCTAGAGTGAGGAGGTCTGCCATGCCATCTTGGGACTAGGTTTTGAGGAGATCTTCACGTTCTCTCTGCAACTACCACATCTATTGCGAGGATGACGCCCACTCCAGCAAATTGGCCTTTTTGTTACTGATAAGATGCCTTAATTTATTAGGAGACGCCTATAAATTGTAAGTCCTGTCTACACATGGGGGGCATTTCTCACATCTTGTATCTCACATATCACTCACACTTGAGCATCCAACACTCTTTAATACAAGATGTGAAGAGGTCACATTGAACGAACCACTTAAATTGTGTTTTGCTTGTGTTGTCTTTCCTTATTTATTTATTGAATTTATTACTTGACAGGTGGTACATAAAATCAATTTGTGCATTATCAGTTTGGCGCCATCTGTGGAGAACGACAAAATTTTCACCCAATCATCTTTCTTTCTGTATCTATTGCGATCACCACCAGATCCATGAATTAACCTGAGGATAATCCACCACGTGAGGAGGAGGTCTTGCCTCTGCCAGCCAATCTTGTTCCTAACTCACGACAAATGTTACTAGAGATGATACAGCTACTGGTAAACTACAACCAGCAGATCCTCCAACTGATGCTTGTTGGACAAGGAGGTGCACACCCAGGGGGAGAACACCCCATCTAGGGGAACACCTCAAGCACCTTGCACAGGGCGCCAAAGAGGCCCCCAGCTGGGCGCCCACCGCCAGGCCGCTCACTAGGGCGCCCTCTTGCAGCACTAGGGAGACCCTGCTCAGCACCAAGGCCTCCGCCTCATCCACTAGCTTCGTCCTTCCACGCTGATGACCCTCCTCTCCAAGAAGACGAGGGGGAAAACTAGAGTCTGGACCATGAGAGCCATTTCAATGACCCTTCCAAAAGAGTCCCTAATCATTGGGACGAGAAAATCAAGAAAGTGCAGAACCAACTTNTATTAGGAGACGCCTATAAATTGTAAGTCCTGTCTACACATGGGGGGCATTTCTCACATCTTATATCTCACATATCACTCACACTTGAGCACCCAACACTCCTTGATACAAGATGTGAAGAGGTCACATTGAACGAACCACTTAAATTGTGTTTTGCTTGTGTTGTCTTTCCTTATTTATTTATTGAATTTATTACTTGACAGGTGGTACATAAAATCAATTTGTGCATTATCAGTTTGGCGCCATCTGTGGAGAACGACAAAATTTTCACCCAATCATCTTTCTTTCTGTATCTATTGCGATCACCACCAGATCCATGAATTAACCTGAGGATAATCCATCACGTGAGGAGGAGGTCTTGCCTTTGCCAGCCAATCTTGTTCCTAACTCGCGGCAAATGTTACTAGAGATGATGCAGCTACTGGTAAACTACAACCAGCAGATCCTCCAACTGATGCTTGTTGGACAAGGAGGTGCACACCCAGGGGGAGAACACCCCATCTAGGGGAACACCTCAAGCACCTTGCACAGGGCGCCAAAGAGGCCCCCAGCTGGGCGCCCACCGCTAGGCCGTTCACTAGGGCGCCCTCTTGCAGCACTAGGGAGACCCTGCTCAGCACCAAGGCCTCCGCCTCATCCACTAGTTTCGTCCTTCCACGTTGATGACCCTCTTCTCCAAGAAGACGAGGGGGAAAACTAGAGTCTGGACCATGAGAGCCATTTCAATGACCCTTCCAAAAGAGTCCCTAATCATTGGGACGAGAAAATCAAGAAAGTGCAGAACCAACTTGGTGATGTCTTTAACGCCATAAAGGTGCAAGGACCTGAAACTATTAATTACATCGTAAGGCGCATTGACATGCCTTTCGTAGCTGATGTGGCAAATTATCCTATCCCCCAATAATTTAAAATGGCAACAGTAGAGGCCTTTAATAGCACAAAAGACCCGCTAGATCACCTCGACTCGTACAAATCTCTGATGTAGCTGTACAATGTTCATGACGAAATCAAGTGCAGAGCATTCCCAGCTATCCTGAAGGGATCTGCTTGTCAGTGGTTTGTCAAGCTCACCTCGGCCTCCATAAGCCTTCGCCAACCTAAGCAGATCTTTTGTTGTACACTTCATCGGAGGAAGCTGCCACCAAAAGCTTGTCGCCCACCTGCTTATCATAAAGCATGATCGAGATGAGAGCCTGAGGAGTTACCTCACTCGTTTTAACGAGGAGGTCCTCCATATTGACAAGCTTGATGATAAGGTCACTATGATCGCCTTCCTGGGAGGCCTCCGCTCATCAAGTTTTCTATTCTCAATAATGAAACGCCCACCAAAGAGTATACCAGAGCTATTAACGAAAGCTCAAAAGTACATGAATGCTAAGGACATCACTAGGGCTAGGCAAGGTGAGTCCTCACGAGCGGGGGAGAAAAGGAAACAGAGAGACCACGACAACAAGAGGGAAATTGGAAGCAAATGAAGTAGGATAGAGAGGGTGCCCACCAAAGATCGGCTTGGTCCTGTCCCTCAGAAAGAGCGACAGATCTTCACGCCGCTAAACACCTCTGTTGGGCACACCTTACTTCAGATCTAGGATGACCTCGCAATGAGGTGGCCAGGAAGAGTGAAGTCTCCCCAAAATCGCAGGAATCTAAGCAAGTGTTGTCACTTCCATCGCGACCATGGCCATGACACCGACGATTGTTATGAGCTCAAAAGATAGATTGAGGAGCTCAAATAGCATGGCCAACTATTTCAGTATATTGCTGGTAGAAGCCAAACACCCCACCAGCTCACAATCAGGATGACCAGCAACCTCTTGGAGAAATTCAGACCATCTCCGAAGGGCACGCAGGAGGAGGA